ACCACCATGATGGAGTTCATCGACAGCAAGACAGAAAAGAAGTTTTCATATCTTAGTATACCACAAATAAAGGCCATATCATGATGTACTTCATGTATGGGTATGATTGAGTGGGAAACAACGAATTCAAACTAGGTCAATCAAGGATTTGTTTGTATCCTTATGCTCATAGTCTGTAATGTGGATCAAACTGCACTTGATATAAGTTACGGTTTTGTTCTTAGATTCGTAGCTTCAACCCATTTATGCCTAATGTACTATGAATATTACAGCCTAAACTTGTTTGTTCCTGTAGATATCTGTACGATTGGGTTAAATTGCATAGCTCGCGGCGACAGTTTGCGGGTGGATCTCGTACAGTACGAAGTAATTTTGCGTATTGTGCAATATTTTGTATGTGAAATCAGTTTTTGTATATTGGAAAATAGAAGATGAATGAATATGGCGTGCACTTTGCAAAGTAAGTAGGTTTTTTATGACATAAAATAAAAAAAATAGTTTATTTTTATGAAAATATTATTTCCTTAGTTGCGGCTTCTAGATTTTATGCTTTGTTTGTGAGGTTATGATAAAGTTAGGTGTAATATATTTAGTACATCAGGAAAAAAGGGGCTACGAATATGTTCATAGTCAAAACAAAAATAAAATGGTTTTAGGTAAATTATTTTTGAATAAGTCATTATTTTGAGAAGGAACATTTGTTTCGAGGGTTTTTCTTTGCATGAGGCGCTAGCAATGATAGAAGATGACGACATTGAAGCTGAGTCTATCACTTTGTTGACCCCCACTAATGCATGCGGTAACATAACCGACGAGGATTCTGGAGACGAAGAAAGTCTGGATATCAACAACTTGCCAGGAAGCTTAATGCAAGCTGAGGTCAAAGTAAATAAGAATCAAAACGAGGATATGTGGAGTTCAGAAGATGAAATACCACTCAGTGAAATCAGGGGTAATAATCGGAAGGAAGTGAAAAAGAAGAAAACATATAATTACGTAAAAGAGGATTTGCCAAGAAATATAAACAACGAAAATCAAAATGAACAAGAGTAGTCCCCAACCGAGATATTTTTTAGTTTTATTGATGACGAAATTTTGAACATAATATTTGAGGAGACAAATCGGTATGCTCAACAGAAAAACAGGAATATTATGGTTACCAAACCTGAAATCAAATGTTTACTAGGCATATTATGGTTGAGTGGCTACAGTAGTGTATCTCGCAGCAGGATGTATTGGGAAAAATCCAGTGATTCACACAACTCACTTGTTTCTGAAGCTATTTCTCGCGATAAATTTGAACTTATAATGTCTCACATTCACTTCCTAAACAATGAAGCTCTGGATGCAAATGATAAATTTGCTAAACTAAGGCGTCTTTTCAATCACCTAAATAAAAAATGTTTGGAATACGCAGTACCAGAAGAGCATCATAGTATTGATGAGGCAATGGTTCCATACAACGGGCGACATGGTTGTAAACAGTATATCGACGGGAAACCAATACGTTATGGGTTCAAATTTTGGGTTGGCGCTACTACTCTTGGTTACATCTTATGGTTTGAACCTTATCAGGGTGCTGGACGTATGTGAACGCGGCTTACAAATCTTTAGGTGTTGGCGCATCAGTTGTATTGAGCTATGCTGATAGGCTAAAAAGCAAATGGGCAAATGTTAGGTTTCATTTTGTGTTTGATATTTTTTTTTCTTCGCCTGCTTTAGTTGAAAGCTTGACTGAAAAAGGCATATGTGGTACAGGAACAATTCGTGAAAATCGTATACCCATGTCTTCTTTGAAAAAATCAAAACTTATGAAAAAGGAACAACGTGGAGTGTTTGATTATACCAAAGTAAAAGATAAAAACTTAATTTTTGTAAAATGGAATAACAACAATATTGTAACTTTTGGGTCTACAGCGATTGGAATTGAACCAGTAAATTCAGTAAAGCGGTATTCTCAAAAAGAAAAAAGTTTGTGTATGTAGATCAGCCCCAAGTTGTCAAGCTGTATAATAAATGTATGGGCGGGGTGGATAGGTCAGACCAGAATATAGC